GAGAGAGAGAGAGAGAGAGAGAGAGAGAGAGAGAGCAAGAGAGAGAGAGAGAGAGCAAGAGAGAGAGAGAGAGAGAGAGCAAGAGAGAGAGAGAGAGAGAGCAAGAGAGAGAGAGAGAGCCAGAGAGCGAGAGAGAGCCAGAGAGCGAGAGAGAGCCAGAGAGCGAGAGAGAGCCAGAGAGCGAGAGAGAGCCAGAGAGCGAAAGAGAGCCAGGGAGCCAGAGAGAAAGAGCCAGAGAGAGTGAGCGAGTTAGAGAGCGAGAGAGAGAACTAGACAATGAGCGAACCAGAGAGAGAGAGTGAACAAGAGAGCGAGACTTTATGAACGAGGCAAACATTTGCTCATCGAAAGTATAGCAAAAGAGACCGAGGCGAGAGCAATGTCTTCTATAACCTCAGACGCGGATCAATTTGCAACCGAGAGATGGGCAAATCCGTCAGCTTTTGTGATACGCGGGATTTCCGAGACGCGACTCTTGCAAACGATTTTTCAGATGCGCCAGAAAAGCACCGCATGGCAATTGGGGTTTCGATGTGGACTCCTTCCGCCCCTCTCTTTCTGAATGCAAATATGCAGAGACGGAAGAAAGAGGAAGAAGCCGAGGAAGAAAAGGAAAATAAATAAAAGAGAAAAAAAGTAAAACACGAAGGAGGGAGAAACAAAGAAGTGAACGAAGAATTGAAAAGCAAAGAAGTAAAAGGATAACAACAACGACGACGACAACAACAACAACAACAATAACAAAAGCGAAAATGGAAAACAAAAAAAGCAAAACGAAAACAGCAATGTAAGAAATAAAAAAATAAAGAAGAAAAAGAGAGAAGAGGAAGATACACCAAAGAACAAGACGAAGAAGAGAAGCACAAGAAGGGAAAAAGAAAAACAGAGAGAGTGAGCTCTTGTCCTTATCTGAAGAGCCTTATGGCAAGAGTCGATAGAGGTTTATTTGAGAACTCGCCTTTATCTCGCATGGAAAAACGCCAGGAGGCGGAGGCCGCACGACAGCCGATTCCGAGCTATCTCTGTCGGCCGATCTGTCTGGGTGTGTGTTGGCCGGTCCGTCTGTTAACAGAGAGGGGAGAATAGGAGGAGGGGAGGGAAGAGGGAAGAGGGAAGAGGGAAGAGGGAAGGAGAGAGGGAAGGGGAAGGTGATAGGAAAGGGGAGAGGGAAGAGGGAAGAGGGAAGGAGGAAGAGGGAAGAGGGAAGGGAGAGGGAAGGGGAAAGGGGAGAGGGAAGGGAAAGGAGAAGAGAAGGAGAGAGGGAAGGGGAGAGGGGAGAGGGGAGAGGGGAGAGGGAAGAGGGAAGAGGGAAGGAGAGAGGGAAGGGAAGGTGAGAGGAAAGGGGAAAGGGGGAGAGGGAAGAGGGAAGGAGAGAGGGAAGGGGAAGGAGAGAGGGAAGGGGAAGGAGAGAGGGAAGGGGAAGGGGAGAGGGGAGAGGGGAGAGGGAAGAGGGAAGAGGGAAGGAGAGAGGGAAGGGGAAGGGAAAAGAGAAGGAGAGAGGGAATGGAAGAGGGAAGAGGGAAGGGGGAAGAGGGAAGAGGGAAGAGGGAAGGGGAAGGGAAGAG